AGGCACAAAAAGAGCTGCTTGGTCAAGTGCTGACTCCAAGACAGGTACAAGACGAGCCTGCAACATTTTGTGGAGACAGAAAGCCAAGAAGTATACAAGAATAATAGAGACATGTCACATAGGAACCACCTTGAAAGGGTTCCCCCTGGCCAAATCCAGGATAAATTGAGCATAAAAATAATGATTATAATGGATTATAACCCACTGAATAAGATATGAATCTGTGACTGTATGCTGATATTAATGAATTAATAAATGTGAGAGAAGGAAAAGCTCCTTCTTATAACACAATGTTAACTGAAAAATAGAGAAAGAATGATGGACCAAAAACATCACTTTTGGATGTAAAACTGTTAGGTGAGAGTTGGACTAAGAAGAGGACGTTTGCATAGTCTCAGCATATCCCAACAAATTACCTCTTAATTTGTTGGAGCAAATTAAGGTTGGAGCAAAAGTGATTGTGATTTTTGCTATTAAAAGTAATTACTTTTGCACATACTTGATACAAAGAGGAAAGCGGTAACTTTACAGTAGAGAAGCCTGGGAGAGCTCACCTAACTACTGTTGTGGTGGGTCTGATTTCCACCAGCTCATGAGAGCCAATTGTGTGTATTTCTTCCCAACTTGCGCTTAAAATAGAGCATGGTGGAAGTGTCTGCACTGAAAATTGGCAAACACTACAAAAAAGGGACTTCCTACCCGCTGGAGGCCAGTCGTTAAGTATCTTCTAGCACACCAATGATGTTAACCAAGCAATCAAAGCTAATATCACCAATACTGGGACAAACGTACAGCTTGTGTTTAAACTCACATCAGCACTCAGCACCCAGCACCTCCCCGCCGCTGCTATCTGTATTCCTTAATGGTTTTCAGCCAGTAAGCATGTTATAAATATTCTCACAAGTTTTTTCATACCAATATGCTACTCTCACAAAGCTGTCAATATTTTATCTTAAAAGGGAAACACCTTTTAACCAAAAGAGTTGTATATCTCACACTGGAACTTCAGACATCAGTAAAAAGGTGAACAGGAACATGGAAGATGGGATTGGTGCCTCAACCCCACAAGTGCCAGGTCCTTGTTCTCAGACTTGAGGCTTTCATGGTTTCTGTCCCAAGGTCATTATTGAGCTCAGTTTAACATCATTAGAAAATGTACTTTTAAAAATCTGTTTAACAAGTCATTTTTGCTCTTTGACATGAACATTTTTTTAATTGCAAGATTTAAAATAAATGATATGAAAAAATTGCGTATCAACAATGTAAAGTAATGCTTTGGTCCCATTTCTAAACAATGAGATGATAAATACCATTGTCACCAATTTTAGAAAATACAGTCAACCAGAACTATAATTGGAAAAAAGGAGTGACTGTACCTCCATGTATATGTAGACTGTGTTTGAGGCCTAGCCAGTACATGTTCACTCCTTTTAATTCTGAATTTTTATGAAGAAAACATTGATATGGCCTACATATGCCTGGATTACAGGTGATGTGAATAACTTCGGGCATAGAGGTGGATGTTCCTTTGCTCCTTTAATTTTTTTTGAGGTATTACCTCTAGAGCAGATGTGTCCAATCTTTTGGCTTCCCTGGGCCACACTGGAAGGAGAATTGTTGTGGGCCACTCATAAAAGACACTAGCACTAATGATAGCTGATGAGCTAAAAAGGTGAAAGAAAAAAGGCCTATGCATAAATCTCATAATGTTTTAAGGAAGTTTATGAATTTATGTTGGGCTGCATTCAAAGCCAGCCAGGCCGTAAGCTGTGTTAGCTGTCCAGCTGGCGGCCCAGGACAGCTTTGAGTGCAGCCCGATATAAAGCTGATAGATTTTCTTAAAATATTGTCAGATTTTGTGTGATTTTCTTTTCTTTTTCTTTTTATTTCCAGCTCATCGGCAATCGTTAGTGTTAGTATTAGTGTATTTTATGTGTGGCCCAAGATAATTTTCCCAGGGTGACCCAGGGAAGCCAAAAGATTGCATACTCCTGCTCTAGAGTATTATAAAATGGTCTCCCTAAATAAAAATATGTTAATCCTACCTCTGCCTTTAAATCATTCACTATGCAAACTATAAGCAGACTTTAAATTCTTTGTGACCCTTAGGGATTTTTTAGTAGGTTTTCTTTTTCCAACTGTAAAGTGAAAGGGTTTTTTGAAACACATTTGAGGTTCCCTGTCAGTTCTAACATTCCGGGATTTTATAAAAAGCTTACCAAGTCAGAAAGAACCTACAAAAGGAGGGAGAAGGCAACATAGGAAAGCGGAAGGGGAAAGGAGGTAGAAAGGCAAGACTCTGTCATGTTTCTAGGCGATGAAACATAATGTATAGTTTCCCACAAAGAGTGAAAGTTGAGGAAGGATTCAAGAAACGTAAGTTGATGTGTAATTCAGCATGTGTTGGTAGAAGTCTTTTAAATTGTTTTATTTTATAAAAAGGACTACAATTATGACAGTAGCTCTTATCTATAGTCTATTTTTTTAATTTATTTATTTAGAGACAGAATCGCACTCTGTCACCCAGGCTGGAGTGCAGTGGCACCATCTCAGCTCACTGCAGCCTCCACCTCTCAGGTTCGTTATTCTCCTGCCTCACCCTCCCGAGTAACTGGGATTACAGGCATGCATCACCACGCTCAGCTGATTTTTGTATTTTTAGTAGAGATGGGGTTTTGCTATGTTGGCCAGGCTGCTTTCTAACTCCTGGCCTTAAGTGATCTGCCTGCCTCAGCCTCCCAAAGTGCTGGGATTATAGGTGTGAGCCACCGTGCCCGGCCTATAGTCAATTTATAGTATCAGTAATTAGGCAACTTATTCTAAAAATTGATGGTGAGATTGACAACCCCTTTACATGAGGGAACTGTAAGTACCAGTTTGTGATGGGTAGTCTCGGTTATAACTGTTATCTTGGAATAATCATTAATAGTGCCCCTTTTCACTCTCAAATGGATATTGGTTTTGGAGAATGCATTTATGTCACCCAATTGTTAGGGGTTGCAGAGTCCCAGATTTCCCTACCTCTGTCTCCTGCCGCAGTTCGGGGTCTGACTTGGTGATAGTTACTCAGTGAGAGTTTACAGGGCTGTTTTTCAGCTGACTCCTTTAGCAGCAGGGTCTCCAGCTGGCAGAGCCATTAGACCCATTCTCTTCCAAGCACTTTTTTCTAACTTGTCTGAAAAGTTTTTGCCTCCTCATGTAAGACTTAAGCAGATTCTTCAGCTACACTTAAAGATAGCAGCCTTCCTTTACCCTGTGACAAGAATATAAGAACATCCAATCATGAAAGTATCACTGCCCACTTCCTATGTGCCAAATACTGAGCTGGGCTGAGAGTTTAGAGAGACAAAGACGATGAAGGAAACAGACATTAAAACAATAACTGAAGTCTGATCAATGCTATCTTTGTAGGATGAACCCAGTATATACTGAGGTTATTGAGGGAAGAATAGTTAATTCAGGAGAAGAGAAGGGGAGAGGAAGAATTTTGAGCTAGGCCTTAAGGGAGTAGCGGTATACATCTTGCAGGGGGATTGAGTGGGTGGGAGGCAGGGCATTCCAGGAGGAGGAAGAGACGTGCAGTGATCCATGGCCAGAAAACACGTGGCGTGACTGAGGAGGCCAAAAGTAGCCTCGTCTGACTGTCCATTTGTTGTAATATGCTAGTTTGGAACTAAGTGCAAGGAAAGACCCTGGACCACATCCCAGGGGGAGGTGTTGTTATTAAAAGTACCAGACAGGACCTAATTTCACATTTAGCATGGACCCCCGATGATTCCATTTGAGTGAGGTGTGGGTGTATTTTCACTCCAGAATTTTACATTACAGCATGACCACATGCATTGACCAGTTTTAATACAGGCTTTCCTTATGTTGCTTTATAATTAGAAGCTACTGAATTGAAGTTCCACAGCGGTACATAGACTAGTAGTGATAGCTTTATGGAATTGTTTATTTTTAGTTTGGCAAAGGCTAAGCAGTAAATATCTCAATTAGTAAACTAAAGCAGCATGGATGAGAAATGCCCACACGGAGATCAGGAGTTTGAAATAACTAAGTCAGTTAATTGAAGGACGCCCTCATATCACTTGCCCATATTTAGAGTTTAAAGAACCTTCCTAATGTGTGTGTGTGTGTGTGTGTGTGTGTGTGTGCATGTACGTGCACACACACAGTGTCAGTATCCACAGTGCTGCCAGCAGTGAGGCCCTTTGCATTCCCCAGGTTCTAATTGTTGAGGAAGTTTCTCTCTGTTGGAGCCACTATGCTTGGTTGCTGACCCAGTGGGACAGGTCAAGGGCTATGGCAGTACGATGGGACGTTGTCTCACTACAGAAGCCTTTCATCCTGCAGTTTCTTTCAATGTGACCCAATAGGGATTTTATTATGAAGTGCTGGGGGAAGTTATTCATATTCATATTTATATTCACATTATATGGCCTGATGTGTGAAAATATTTAGTGAAAACATGCATGTGGCACTGCGGAATCATTTACTCGCCTCTAGATAGAGTCTCTTGCATTATATTTAAGATTCCATTTTAAGTTTAGGAGTAAAAACAGAAGTGGTCTGCAAAGCTTAGTTTTAAGAATTTAAATTTTGCTTAAATTAAGAATCTAATCATGCTGTTCCTAGAATTCCAGTATCTTTAGGAAATATTGACCATTCAGAAGATGAAGGATTCATTGGTAGTGTAAAACATTAAGAATGTTAGAGAAAAAAAGGTTTGCGCTTTAAAGTTACAAAATACCATTATTTAGTTATGATTTTTTTTTGATGCTGCGTACTTTAGTCCATTTGGATTGATGGCACGTATTTAACATCGTTTGAAAGGTTGTTTAGGTTTTCCCCCTGAAGTGGGGGAGGGTAAATAGAAAGGTCATTGTCTTCTTATGCTTAACAATTTACTATGTATCAGCTCTGTCTGGTCTATAGGGGACAGGATGGGGGTTTGTGCATCTGCAGGTTAAATTTCTGTATGTCTCCTCTCTGTTTTGCAGACAGGAAAAAGATAGCATTCAGCAGAGCTTTAGCAAGGAAGCAAAGGCCCAAGCCCTTCAGGCCCAGCAAAGAGAGCAGGAGCTGACACAGAAGATACAGCAAATGGAGGCCCAGCATGACAAAACTGGTAGGTGGTAGGGAAAGATTAGAGCCTGGGCACTCGCTCACAAGCCAGGCCCACGCCTTACTGTGAAATGACATCAGGAACACCTGTAACCTTTGGCTGGCCGAAGGGAGCAGATGCTAACTACACCGGAGATTCCGAATTACATATTAGTTAGCGTTTAAAAGAGAAAATGGAAAGTATTGCCCACTGTCTGTTGATTTCAGAGTGCTGCTCTCACATCTGTTGCACCATCTGGATTATGAGTTTATTTACCTGTGTTCAAGAAACGTAAAGCTGAGAGAGACCACAACAAAGTAGAAAAACAAAGGGCTTGTTTTTGGCTGGGTTTTCAGGCACACATGTTATATAAAGAAAATAGCATCAGAAGCTCTGCGGGAAATGCTCTGAGCTTACAGTTAGAGTCTCCTGAATAGCATTGAACAGTTCCCACAGTACCCACATTATAGCTGCTCTAAAAGCCTAATGAGTTTGCTTCAGCATCCAAACTGGAGAAAAGCTTTAGCCATTAATCGGTTCTTAATTCACTGTCGCAGCTGGATGTAATTCAGTGGCTCCAAATTGATATGTTCCTTTATTTAATCTTTGCAGCTTCGAACATTTTTAGCATTTGTATGATTTCCCCACCTCCCCCAACCCAATCCAGAGTGATGTTTAATCCTTTGCATTCTTCAAGTTCTCACAACTGCTGTTAAAATTCACTAATACAAGGCATTGACCACAGCTGGCAGCTTGGCTAAAAATTGCCATCTTTCATCACATTGGCACTATTCTGCAGACTGAGTTGGCCAGTAACTCTTTACCTTTAATTTGAAAGTAAAATGCACTTTGAAAATAGACAGTTTGATTTGTTCAGTCAGAGCATTATGTAGTTTCTTTCACTTTTGAGTTGTGTGTTCACAGACAGTGTTAGTCAAAACAAGACAGTGTCAGTCATTATAATTCCACACCACATACTCCACACTGATTGTACTATTAAAACAAAAGTTTAATTGATCCTGTCTCTTCCAGAAAAATGTTGCTTAATTTTAGTGCCTGGATTTGTTTTGATTTGTATGCTATATGCTTTTTGCCAGTTATTGGATAAAATTGAAAAGAATTAAAGGACTCTTAAAACTTATGCTTAGAGGTAATTTTCATATAATTTAATGTATTAATATATTGTATTTGATGATAGAGTTAAAAAATTACTTCTTATCCTATGGGTAAAAAATTGCTAGCATGCAAGTCATTAAATACTCTATTTACTTATGAAGAGGCAAATGTCATATTGACTCACACAATTCCCTCTAGCACTCTCAGTAGAGATTTTCTTCTAACAGCATTTGGCCAGAAGAAATGAAAATTCACCGGGTTTAGTAGATGTTCTTCCACTAAAATAAAAAGAGGAAATTGTAGGATAAATTATTGTTTGCCCTCACTGTTAGCATGATCCAAGTGATCAGAGTCTTGGGCAGAAACTAAGCACTAGATTAGAGTGTATTTAAGTGTTAGAACCACCTTAAGAACATTTCCTTTTGTCTTGTACACACACACACACACAAATCACACTCTTTTCAGTGTCTTTGACCAGATCTCCACTGCAGCTCATGCTGTTGACAATGAAATTAAAATTCTAAAGAAAATACACATTTTTACCTTCATAATTAGAGAAGTATATGCAGGATTGGGGGCGGCGGTGGTAGGAAGCCATGTGTGCAAATATGAAACAAAGCATGAATTACAGTGTTGAAGAGAAGTCCTCGATGATTTTAGTTTTGAATTATCTGGTTGTGAGAATTTTTGACACTCTGTTTATAGTAAAATTGTCAAAATAAAAATATAATATCTTGCATATTACGAAGATATAAGCATCTATGACTCCACTTGAGGTATTTGACACTTTATTAACATGTTAAAATGTTACACCAAGCTGGTATGATGAAAAATGTTTCTGGTGTATAATTATGTTGAAAATAAATGACTCAAAAGATTGAGTGTGTTGCCAGATGATCAGTCCTTTGACTTAGGACACTGGAGGTGATCTAGTGGCTTACAGGAAATGTGTAGGGTCTAAGCACCTTATCACTCTACGTATGGAAGCACTGCAGAGCTACAACCATAAACATCTTATGTTGGTGGGGGTTTATTGTTATTTCTAGAAAATGAACAGTATCTGTTGCTGACCTCCCAGAATACATTCTTGACAAAGTTAAAGGAAGAATGCTGTACATTAGCCAAGAAACTGGAACAAATCTCTCAAAAAAGCAGGTAGGTGATGTTATGGAATACTTTCAAGAGCACTGTTTGTGTGACTAATTTTTCCTTAAAAGACAGCATTTATACTGTTGTATAGTCTAATGTCAAAATTAGGTATCTGCTAATGTTTACTTTGCAAACATTTTCTCCATATGGACATTTTCTTAATTGTCCATACACTTTTATGTTTTTTCTCAATTATGTGTATATACTATTATTTGACTTTTTAGTGTTTAGAATTGAAAACTGAAATTTCGGAAAACAAGGATCAATATGGTAATAACATAAGGATGCAGGTAAATCAAGCAGTTATAAAATCTTACATGGATATGGTTAACACATTTTAATCTATTGTTACAATTCACCATGAACACAAAAGCTATCTTTAGGTTAAATGATAACAGATGAAATGGGTATATATTAAGATGAAAGTAGATGGTACTTTGAAATAAATAAACCAAAACTATTCTTCCCTTCTCTTCAAATTGTTATATTATAATAGAACAGCCATCACTCATTTTATAGGCATACTACTCTTTTATAAATCCATTGGTTGGAATCTTAATGGCTTTTTTCTACACAATTTCTAGTCAGATTATCTCAATGAATAAATTATTTTATGTTCTAAACTTCAAGAAGCCCGAGTCCTCATCTCAGCTCCGGCAGTAACTGTATAATCTTGGACAAATTTATTTGACCCACTTGGACTGTAGTTTTTGCTTTTGTAAACAAATGACATTGGACAGAATCACTTTAAATTGAACTGTAGAAGGCAATATTCACGTAACTGATGTCAAATATTGCCTTATATTATAACTTAATGAAAAAATAGCCTGTGAGTCTTCTCTTCTGTATTTTTCCAAAACTCACTTAGATCTATTGAGAGCAGGAAAATATGGCTCAGCAAACAAACCACTAACCTAGATGTTTCATTCAGAAAGGATTTCCAGGAGAATCAGAGCATATCTGATCACTCTGAGCTCCATCTTGGGATCCTGCATCAACAAACCATCTTAGCTGATAGAATCCCCATCGCTGATTCTTTTGGGGCATCACAGGGCTCATGCATCCAATTCTCCCTGCTCACAGGAAGGCAGAGGCTCCTGTAACCACCAAGAAGGTACTCTGACATGTGCACCTTCCTAGCATATACTGATAATTGTATTTTGGTAGGGGAAAACCTGTATGCCAAAATACCAGATATTTCAAGGAAATTTGACCTAGAAAACCAAATGATTCTGTCATGAAAGAGACCCATAAAATATCAACAGTAGCTATTTGATTTGCAGCACATAGGTCCCAAAGTAATTTGTTAGAAGCAAACAAGCCAGATTCTATCATTTAGGGATAAAATTATATTAATCTGGGTTTTATATTAATGTGTTAGGTCTAAAATTGGTTTGTGAATGATTCCTGATCTTGCTCTCCAAGGAGACATAATCAGGGAAATTTAATCTATAAAAGAGACAAAAAGGTGCTTGGTATTTAATTCTCACCACAACTTGAGATAGGAATTATTATCTTCACTGGCAGATAAGGAAACCAAAACCGTTTAAATAACTGGTGAGTGGGAGAGCTAGGGTTCTAACCTAGGTATTTCTGGTTCCAAAGTATATGTTCTTTCTTACAGTAATTACAATATTTTACATCTATTGCTAAAGAAAATTCAAGCCACAGTAGTAATGATGGGAAAGTTTGGGAAGGAAAAACTAACCTTTAAATTCCCGTGGAGAAGTAAGCATCCTGGGCATGTGACACAGCTAACCTCCTCTGTGCCCCTAGGCCCTGTTTTTCCTCCTCTAGATCTGTCACCTTAGCCTGTACTGGTCTAAGCACCGCTACAGCTCCTCTTGCTTCTCATTCCTCCAGCTGCTGAACACGACTTTGTAAATTGGATGTATTCTTTTGTATCTGACGCATAGATGGCTCTTAATGAATGAATGATGAATGAATGCAACAGATAGGTGTGGTGCTGCTCCCACATCCTGACCTGACTTCTGATGCCAGTCTGTGCCTTTGTTGATGGCAGGCAGTGTGCAGTCAGGAGCACGTGGGGATTCAGAGGAACTAGCTTTGAATCACACTCTACCACCTGGGGCTTTGTAACCTTGGATACATTGCCTAATCTCCCCAAACCTCAGCTTTTCCATCTGTAAGAACATTTCTAAAGCCACATTGTGTGGGATTGTTGTGGGGATTAGAATTACATATATAGATACCCGTAAGTACATGTATCAAGTGCCTAGCACAATGTCTGACACACAGTAATACACAGTAGCTGCTATTGTTTTCACGGGTGGCATTGTTTTAAGGGTCTTGATTGGTAATTTGGGTATCACTTCACATAGCTATTGTCTTTGCCAGGGAAAGTCTCACTGTCATAGGCTGACAGAAATAAGTCTATGCCACAATGCAAGCCTTTTTCAAAAGGCCAGATCAGGAAAATGTGCATCTAGTTGTATTTTGTAAATCTGATGAATTAAAATAGGCAGCTATTCTAACTTTACAGTTTGATTCAACCAAGGCCTAGCAACTAGTAAACACTTGATAAATTGTTGCTATTTTTAAAACTCTTAAGGGCCCCTAAAACTTACAAAAAGTGCAATTTGTGTACCTCACAGTAAAGTAGTGGAAAGGACAAATTGTGGTTTTAGGGTTGTTTGTTTGTTCTTAATTTCTTTTAGTTCCAGTTTCATTTCTCCCTGGTTCCTACTGTGACATTTTCAACAACTCATTAACTCATTCATGTCAATTTAATATTTTATTTTGATGTTACCTTCTGCTTTGTAAGCACCTATAAAACTTGAAGGGCTCAGACTGTTTCTTTTAAAATACAAGTTGTTAATGTAGTCAACCCTGAAGAAGCCTTCTAGGACTGTGCCCCTGCATACCCCATGCCAGACTCTTGGGATAAATCATTTGCCCTGTGCTTTAAGGTAAGGAAAACCTTGGAGTTTCTAAAGTTTTGTCATTGTGGAAACTCAGTCTCCAAAATAGTTATGCAATCCATATGGAAATTTTGGTCCAGTTTTTCCTCAGAGTATTAGAGTACAATTTTTCCTGAAAGTAAGTGTATTTATTTTGTATTGAGCAATAATTAAGACATATTTTTCCCTCCTCTGTTACTAGCAACATTACTCTAAGAGCCTTGTTATTCAAAATGCCAACTAAACAAATGGATTTCTACCATTTAAAATAAGCTTTTAACTCACAGATCTAGTCATTTGACTGGAGCCCATGCAGAGTGACGGGACAGCTGACAGCCTGGGCTCGGTGTGCACTGCACTGTTGCTCTCTGCCCCAGCCTTGCGCTAGGCTGCTCTGTTGTTCTGTGAAAATGTTTTGAAATGGTACCTCCGTGTGTGTGTCTGTTGTATGTGTTTTCTCCCCAAGTAGACCCTAAGTCGCATTATGGCAGCGACAACTACTTCTGTTTCCTGGAAGCCTCCATAGTGATTAGCACAGTAGTTTGCGCCCTGTGTGTATTCCACGCTGCACGTAGTCGTGCTTGTAACCCCGGGGTTTGTGAATGGCACGTCCCATTTTAAAACTAAAAATGAGCTGCTGATTCTGTGCATTTTACATAGCTTGTTTTTGACCATCAGGCAAGAGAATTAATTCCATCTTGCTTTTAATTGGCACCAGGCAGACATTCTGTCTGATTTTAGTTGAAGCTCACGTAAACTTTCGCTACCCTTCCTTCTGTATTTCCCAGTACTCTGAGAGCTTATTACAGTTATGGGGTTGTTTTTGAGGGAGGTAAACGGAGCTATTTAAATGTCTTTGGTACAACTGTGATTTTTCTTTATCAAAGTGAAGGAAGTGTTCTCTCTCCCCACGCACTTAGATGAATCAGCAGTAAAACGTTGCAGTGCGGTCTGCAGTGCTGTCTTAACACCTGGCCTGGGAAGAGCTTGGAAGGACTGGGCGCTGGCGAGGAGTGAGCCTCTGCCAGCTGCAGAGGGGAGAGCAGTGTGTGCTAGGTTTTAGCTTCTCACCACTTGCACATTGAAAAGAACAAGATAGAGATAGAACCAGGGTCGGCATGGGTTTGCTTCTTTCTTTTCTGTCATTGTCACTTTCTGGGTTGCTAGGCTTGTGTACTGATGTCTAACCCTGCCCATTGTGTATTTCTGATTTGTGTTTTGTAATTAAGAGGAACAATGGGAGTCCATGGGGTCTCGTTATATATAATGGTTGGTTTAATTTGTTTCACTTCTATCTTGTTAATTGTAAATTGATCATTAAGATTTGAATTCTAATCTGTCACCAGGGTTGTGAGTATTGAGGGTAGAGCAATGATCCTGGTTTTAATCACTGATGATGAGAAACAAATTTTATAATTTTGGTACATATTGCAGTTCATATATTTTAACACTGTACTTTATGGTGTTATAAATATTGTTAAATGACTTTTAGTGTAGTTTTACTGTGTGGACTATAATGTATAAATTATATTACTGTTTTGGCAACAGTAGGTATCCAACTGTGTGAGTTTAATTGAAGTGAAGAACACACACCCGGTTGAACTGTTTTTTCCCTCCATGTTTAGATGATGTTAGGTTGGGATATTATAAAAATTACATTTTCTACAAGAGGAGACTGATATTGGCCTCTGCTAATTGTTACCAAAAGTCAAACTAGAACCTAAAAGAATAAAAAATTAAGATATCATATTTCCTTTTGAAAGCAATTATCGTTTGAATCTGAGTTATAGTAGTAAAATATATTTCATGCAAGTGCCATTATACAATATAACTGGTATATAAAAATACAGGGGAAAGTTCATGCTTCTGTAAAGCCAGAAATTGCCTAAATATTCTATGAAAATGCTTTAGAGCCTATTATCCTTTTATATGGCACAGGATAGTCATGTCACGAATGTATCTCAAAACTAACAGAAAACTTGTAAGTTTACTCTTTGAACTTTGCAAACTACTAGTTCTAGGAACATAGTGTGAGCTCTACACAGAAAAAGAATGATGTGCAGGCACATATACCAAATTTTTGTTGAAAAATGAAAGTTCATAGGCAAAGTACAATTATAAATAAAGAAAACAAAAATATGCAAAGCAGAAAAAGGATTGTTGCAATAATGTACTTGATAGTAATATGTACTTTATAAAGAACATTTGTATTTTTGTGATTATGTAAGACATCCTCAATGCAGGGAATTTGGAAAATACAAAGAAGAATTAAGGAAAGTTTCTTGTGCCACTACCATCCAGAGATAACTGTTCTTACGTCTGACATACTTCCCTTCAGTCACTTTTCATGTGTATGTATCCATACATTTATATCGTGATTGAGATTATACTGTATATACAGTTTTGCGTCTGCTTTTTCATTTGATATCTCATCTAATGAACATTTTTCTATATCAGCAAATACTCTGAAAACAGAAACTTATTAAATGATTTGCATGTACAATAATTATTAGGCTTTTAAGATGTTTCCAATTTTTAACCATTATCAGTAATCATATGACGAAAACTTTGTACCTAAATCTACATTATTGATTGTTTTCTTAATAGAGCTTCCTAAAAGGGAATTGCTGGTCTAAGACTATGGAACCTTTTAAGGGTATTAATGTGTTTTACCTTGTTTAAGTACCACACTAACTTCTAATCACGGTATATGCAGCCATATTAGTAAATAACATAACGAAGAAGTGAGATATTTTAAAAAAGAATGCGAGGCAATATTGCACAGTGGGTGGAACTACCCCTTTAGAGGTGGACTAAGTAGTATTTGTATCTGGGCTTGGCTACTTGGGTGACCTTAGGCAAGTCATTAAACTTCATATTTACCTCACAGAGAAAAGAAAATAAACCTCTACAAGTACTTTATAGGATTGAGTTCTTTAAAGGATGGATTTCAGTATTTGTTATAGAGTAGGCATGCAGTAAATATTTGGCAGTGGTATCTGGTTTTGTTGTGCTAGTTTTTGAATAATAGTAAAATTGAATATGTTATAAATGTTACTGATCATTTGTGTTTCTTCTGTAGATATTTTAAATATTTCTTATACTTTTTAATTGGAATTTTGATGGAGAGTACAGTTAGTGTTTCATTAAATGATGCTTTTAATGTTTATTTGTCTTATTTTTATAAATATTTTCCTGTTCTTTACATTGATTTTAATTAATAAGCTTTATTTTTTAAAGCAGTTTTATGTTCCCAGCAAAACTGGACAGAAAGTACAGAATTCCCATATATTCCCTGTTCCTTCCACATACAACCTCCTTCTCCCACAAGTGACATCTATGCTTTGTTTTATTATGATATTTTTTCAAAATCAAAATGAATTTATTTTAAAAATATAAATACATATCTATTAAAAAAAATTAGAAAGTATAGAAAAGAATGAATAAAGAACAGAGAAAACATTCCTGATCCTACCATCCAGAAATAATCAATGTTAATAGTTGGTATACATGTCAAAATATTTTTCTAAATTATAAAATGAAATCACATAAATCACATCATACATGCTGATTTTTAATGTTTTCTCTTGTATCAATATGTTATAGTTTTAGATCAATAAATAACACAAATAGCCACATTATCAGAATAATAAATTATGTAACCAAGCTTCTATTGATAGCTTTCTTAGTTAGGTTTCCAGATTATGGGTTGCAAAGAAAGATTGTTTCTAGAAACCATGGTACAATGAATACTCTCACACAAACCTATGTATTTCCAACATACGATTTTTTTATGTGTAAAAGTTTTGTATTTTTAATATTGTGAAATTTATTTTTTTCTTTGTGATTTTTCTTTTAAAAAGTGCCTTTTGGTTTAGAAAGTGCCTGAGAATAGGTCAGTGTTCCGCATTTTTTTCTAATCTGGCTTAAGGATTCCTTTTTTCTTCTTTTGGAATTTGTTTTAGTGTGTGGTATGATAGGAGATACTAATATTGGAAGGGATACCAGATCAAAAATTTATTATAACTGCTTCTAAATTACTTTGTATTACATGTGATTCTGAAAGGAGAAACGTAAGTCATTATTAACTCCTTTTAGTCTATTTCAAATATGGGTAGATTCTTACAAGGAGAAGCAAATGTAGGTTGAGCACTTGAGCTGAGCTTGAAAATTAGATAATCCATGCTCTCATACAGAATCTGGTGGGAAAGACAAGGCACAGAGCACAATTTAAAAGAATAAATTATAAGCTAATGTATGCATAAAGGCTAGAGGTAGCTTCAAAAAATGTGCTGACATATTGAGAACTGCAAGATATTAATCAGGGCAAGCTTCCTTTGGGATGACATTTGAACCAAGATGAAAACAAAATGAAGAATCAGGTGAACTAAAAGCCAGAGTTTTCCCCCCATGTGTGTGAGCAGCTTGGTCCTTGGGATGAACGATTTTTAAGGTGAGATTCCCATTAGCAAATCCAAATCCTTTCCTGACCAGGAAGAAAAGGCTATCTTGCCTACTGGAAGAATCCTTTTTTTTGAAAGGAATCAATTTTACATCAGGAGTCTTCAGGAAACAAACCAATCATTAACCTGAAAATGACTCATAATATACAAGAGTTTTAAACTTTCCATTCTAACTCATTAGGCATTAGTGCATGAGGAGATGCTGGCAGTAGGCAGTAATTTAGAGTTTACTTAATACAAGGAAAGGAATATAATTTTTCTTGGATAAACATCTTTCTGATCTTCAGATTTTGAGACTTGGATTGTCATCTAAGACAGAAAAGACAGGATATTTCCGGAAGAATATCAGCTGTCACCAAAGGAGATATTTTTGACTTACAATGAAATATATGAAGACAGAAAGAAGATGAGGGGAATCGTACCCGACTTAGCAGAATGGGTAAAGGCGAACCTTAAATGCCTACAGAGGGGTATATGTATATGTGAAGCAAGTTGGGCTGCTTTCAGAGTTTCAGAAAAACTTGGAAAGGAAGGGTGGAACATAGGAAATCATCAGTTTGAAACCAAAATTGACGGTTCCACCTTCACCACATGCAGCCAAGTACCTGCCCCTCCTCCACACAGAAGATTAGGGGCTTTCTCTTGGAAGAGGTTGAACCAGAGAGCTGTGGTTAAAACAGAGACACTAAAGTTAGAGTAGAAGGATTAAGAAAAAGTATATAGGTAACATCCTCACCCCTCTATTTCCAACCAGTGTCTGGACCTCTGACAGGGTTGTACACAACAGCAGGAAACTCGAAAATCCTTCTCTTGAGCAACAGTGTCCAGAGAGAAAAAATGACAGATACTGATATTTGAGAATCTTCTATGAGAAAGGGTGTCTTGCCACCCAGTTATGCTATACTAAAGCCTACTAATTTGGAGAAAATAAACGTACACAAGGCACATGGCATCATAAGATGCCACATGGATAGCAAAGGCCAATATTTAAGTATTCATTTTCATATAAATACAAATATTAATTGAAACCCAAACTGAAATACTGGTAATTACATTGACAAGCTAGAGACAGAAGGAGGGGAAAGGGGCATGGAAAAGAATTTAATCTTCATCTACCATAGAAAGTCAATAGAAATTTCTTAATTGATGGAACAGGAGCTGGTATAAACATACTTACAAATATAAAGGTAAATACAAAAAGAAATTGCTGTATAAGAATTGCAAGTATTTGTCACTGCTTTGCGATTGGAGGTCAGAGGACAGAAGACCACTGTGTTTCATTAGTATGCCTTTTAGTACTTGTATTAATCAGGGTTTTTAGAGAAATAGATCTAACTGGATATCTTTCCATCAGTCTATTGATCTATCTACCTGTATATCTAGGTCTGCGTCTAGATAGACATGGAGATAGGTAGACATGGATTTATTTGAAGGAACAGGCTCTGACAATTGTGGAGGTTTGGTAAGTCCAAAATCTTCAGGGTAGGCAGGCAGGCCGGAAACCCAGGGAAGTGCTGGAGTTTAAGTGCAAAGGCACTCTGGAGGCAGAAATCTATTTTGCTCAGGGAAGGTCAATCTTTGTTCTATATACATATATATTTTTTTTCTTTTTGAGACAGAGTCTTGCTCTGTCGCCCAGGCTGGAGTGCAGTGGCGAGATCTCGGCTCACTGCAACCTCCGCCTCCCAGGTTCAGGTGATTCTCCTGCCTCAGCCTCCCAGTAGCTGGGACTACAGGCACCCACTGCCATGCCTGGCTATTTTTTGTATTTTTAGTAGAGACGGGGTTTCACCATATTGCCTAGGCTGGTCTCAAACTCCTGACCTTGTGATTCTCCCACCTCAGTCTCCCAAAGTGCTGGGATTATAGGCATGAGCCTCTGCACCCAGGCTCTTTGTTCTATTAAGACCTTCCACGGATTGGATGAATCCCACCCACATGGAGGGTAATCTGCTTTTCTCAAAGTCTACTAATTTAAGTGTTAATATTATCTAAAAAACTCCCTCACAGAAATGTCCGGAATAATGTCTGGCCAAATATCTAGGCACCATGGCCCAACCGTGTTGACACATAAAATTAACTATTACAGAACTATTTTTATTTTAACTGTGTGCCGTTACACTGGTTATGTTAATTAAAAGAAGCTGATATAGAAATTAGGCCTAGGGTTTCTTCTCTGACAGCATCGTGTTTGGCCTAGAATAAGCACTCAGTAAGTATTTGTTAAATGAATGATAATGATAGTCTTTTAAAAAAGAGATTTGATCATTATCATTTTTGTCTTGTTCCTTAGGGAAGCCATGTCTATTAGAGTAAGTTGTTATTCCTTTTTCTGTGTAACACTTGAGTCTTACAACGTGTCTTGAAATTTCTGAAATATTTTCTTTTGCAAAGGATATAGTTGTCATTATACTGTTATGTTTAAGTACAGAGTTTAAGGTAATGTTAAGGTTATATAATAACAATATGCCCTAGTAATAAGAACCTTCAACATCTATCATTTTTGTGTTTTCACCTCTCTAGATCTGAAATAGCTCAACTCAGTCAAGAAAAAAGGTATACATATGACAAATTGGAAAAGTTACAGAGAAGAAATGATGAATTGGAGGAACAGTGCGTCCAGCATGGAAGAGTACATGAGACAATGAAGCAAAGGTAATCCAGGTTTAATGATCAACTCATGTGCCGTGGCTGAATGTGTCTGGTTTACAAACAGAAGGGGAATTGCTATGGAATAAGCAGAGTTCATCATCATTATGCTACTCAGCGAACATGCTCAAAATCTAGTACTTTTATTTTAGGTATTTATGCTTCCTTAATTTAGGTTGTCATTATACACAAAGAGGAGAGCACACCCTCTTTCTGCTATTCTCTGAAGTCATAGAATTAGATTTGATGTGGAAGAAGGGAGGAAAACCATTTTCCTTTAAGATATAAGTTGGCAATATTATAATAGTGAGGAATTTCAAATCATCTCTTCTGGAAATTAGGCTTTATGTGCTTTTTGTAAGGTAAAGCACGTAGTAGGTCTAAAGAGGTTAAATATCTTATCAGAGGTTGCACTAACAGCATTGCTAGAGTCAGAACTTGACTGCAAACAAACCCTTTGCTCCTTTCTAGTGGTGTTACTTTGAGCAAGTCACTTAAGTTCTCTGAGTGATTGTTTCTTCACCTATATATTGGCACTAATAACATCTACTTTGCATTTTAATAGAAAGATCAAATATAGTAAAGCACTTGGCTCATAAAGACCACCTACTAAATGTCATCAACGATTATTCCACTTTTTCTAGATGAAGAAATTCAGCTCAGAAAGGCTAATAGGTTTGCTCAAAGTGACAGATGGAATAAGTGGTAGAGTTCAGACTTGAATCTTGATCTTTTGACTCCAGAATCCTTTCCTTTTGTGCAGTATTGGGGATTTCTTTTTGGCAATAAACACAGCCTCTTATTATTTTTTATCCATGTGCCATTTCTAATTTCTGTGTGATAATGGATTCCCTGGGGAGAAAATAATCTCGGTATTTTACAACAGGCAGTCAATAGGTTTCTGTAGACTTGGACTTCCACACAGCAATCACCTGTACGGCGATAGCAGTCACCCTCCCAGTGGACATGGTTTGCACAGCCTCCAGCTCTCCATCCCCACGCCATTCCCCAGCCATCCATGCCTTTTCTGTTACAAAAATAGTTCCTGATGTAATTGAAGGAAATGAAACTATTTGTAGACTCCTTGTATTTTTAAAATGTAAAGTAAACATACTATCCTGGGGAGGGGAGAGGTATTTTTACATCTATTGCTTGCTTTATTGAATGGAAGACAGGCAGTCAGAAAATGGCACTGCTTGTCAGTTATCACAATACCAACATATGGATATATTTGCGAAGTAATAATTATTCATTCACTGTTAAAGTGTTTACTGAAGCCCAGGCACTTCTCTAGGTCAGGGGTCTGCAAACTTTTTCTGTAAAAGGCCAGAGAGTAAATATTTCAGGCTTTGCAGGCCGCATGTGGTCTCTGTTGCATAGTCTTCCTTGTTTTGTGTTTTTCACAATCCTTTATAAAGGTAAAGACCATTCTTAGCTAGCTAGAGGAGCAACAAAACGAGCCAGAGGATTTGGCCACTGGGCCATAGTTTGCCCCAGTCCTATGCAACTGAGGCATGTTTCCATGTATTTTCTTATATTTGTGTATTGCGTTAGAGTTCCCAAAATGCTCTCACACACATTCTGTATGCACCTTGAAGCAACCTTGAAAGTAGCTATATTTATCATCTCCATTTCCAGATGGAGAACTAAGGCTAAGAAAGATAAACGTGCCAAATGAAGGTCAGGCAGCAAATTATTGATTCATTCATTCAACAGTGATTGATTGATTGATTGATTGATTGCTACTAGATGTCACATTTTCTACCACATGCTGGAATAAAATAGCAAAGTAGGTATAGTTCCCACTCTAATAGAGCCTACATCCTTATAGGGAAGATGGATATTCACAAAAGAATTTCACAACTGCCTAATTAATTATAGTTGACCCTTGGCAACACAGATTTGAACTGTCTGGGGCCACTTCTACACAGATTATTTTCAACAAATTTATTGGAAAATTTTTTGGAAATGTGCAATGATTTGAAAAAAACCTGCAGACCATGTAGCCTAGAAATAATGAAAAAAAAGTGTTAAAGTTAGGTATGTCATGAATACATAAAATATCTATAGATACTGGTCTTTATCATTTACTACCGTAAAATATATGCAAATCTACTATAAAAAGTTAAAATTTATCAAAAGTTACACAAACACAGATCATACATGGTACCATTTGCAGTTGAGAGAAATGTAAATATGCAGTATTAAATCATAACTGCATGAAATTAACTGTAGTACACACTGTACTACTGTGATAATTTTGTAACCACCTCCTGTTGCTATTGCGAGGAGCCCAAGTATTGTAAGTATTCACTTAAAATGCTGTGTGTACCAAATCATCTCCTTGTGAACAGTTGCTCTCTCCAGTAAATTGCTTATTGCCATAAAAAGTGATCTATTGCAGTTCTTATGTATTTTTCACCATGTTTAGTGCAATACCATAACCTTTGAATAACACTGTGGGACCCACAGGAAGTACCACTAGTGATGTTGGAAGTACTTTCAAGAAGCAGAGAAAAGTCATGACATTACAAGGAGAAGTTGCATTGCTTGTTACGTAGCTTAGGTTGAAGTTTGCTGCTGCAGTTGCCTGTCAATTCAGATGATTCATCTTATAAACAGATAGTATAAACTTATGACACCAATATGTAACTATACAGTGCTGTTAAGGTATTTTCTCTTATGATTTTCTTTATATTTTCTCTAGCTTACTTTATTGTGCGAATATAGTGTATGATACATATGACATACAAAATATGTGTTAATCAACCAGGTATGTTATCAGCAGGGCTTCTGGTCCACAGTAGGCTGTTGGTAGTTGAGTTTGAGCGAAGTCAAAGTTATGCATGGATTTTTGACTGTGCAGGGGGTTGGCACTCCTAACCCCCATGTTGCTTAAGGGCCAACTGTACAATAATGGCCTGCTCTGTGAAGCAGAAATAATTTTGTTGTACAAGTACATTTAATAAGGGGACTTATCTTTTTTTTCCGTTATTTTTAAGAGAGGGTCCCACTCTGTTGCCCAGGCTGTGGAGTGTAACCTTGAACTGCAGAGCTCAATGATCTTCCGTCCTCAGCCTCCTGAGTAGGTAGGGGGCTATAGGTACATAACCACCATGCCCTGCTATTTTTTTTTTTTTTTTTTTGAGACAGAGTCTCACTGTGTCACCCAGGCTGGAGTGCAGTGGCACAATCTCAGCTCACTGCAACCACCGCCTCCCAGGTTCAAGTAAATCTCCTGCCTCAGCCTCCCAAGGAGCTGGGATTACAGGTGCCTGCCACCACACCCAGCTAATTTTTGTATTTTTTAGGAGAGATGATATCTCGCCATGTTGGCCAGGCTGGTCTCGAGCTCCTGACCTAAGGTGATCCACCCTCAGGTGATCCTCAGGGCCTCCCCTGGGATTATAGGCATGAGCCACTATGCTCAGCCTATTTTAAAAATTTTTTTTGTAGATACCATGTCTTGTGATATTGTCCAGGCTGGTCTTGAACTCCTGGCCTCAAACCATCCTCTCGCCTTGGCCTTCCAAAACTCTGGGATTACAGGTGTGAGCCACTGTCCCCAGCAGGGGACTTAACATTGATTAAGAAAAGTTTCAATGAGAACATGACACTTGAATCTGTAAGCAATTGGGTTAGATTATTAGCCTTTTAGCATGGGAATTGGGGAACTACCTGGCCCTCTCCTAAAAAGTTTTGCTGACTCCTATTCTAGAGAAAGAAAATCTGTAAAATGGAAGATACTGAGATAGGAAAGCATAGTACTCTTGAGGAAGAGCAAGAACTGTGTATTTAACATAAAGAAAAGAAAGTATGGTATACAGCGAGGCTGGAGAGGTAGGCACGGGACAGACCTAAAGGCAGGGTCTTTATGCTTTTTAACCACGGATCTTTTATTTTATCTTATTACTAATGGGAAGAAATCAAAAGATTTTTTAAAAACCAGAGGAGATGTGATCAGATTCGCATTTTAAAAGTAGCATTCTTACTCCAGAGCAGATAACAGATTGGAGCGGAGCCGTTGTTTACTCAGGACCAGTTAGGGGCGGGGCATGGTGGCTCAGGCCTGTAATCTCAGCAGTTTGGGTGGATCATGAGGTGAAGAGGTCGAGGCCATCCTGGCCAAGATAGGGAAAGCCCATCTCTACTAAAAATACAAAAATTAGCTGGGCCTGGTGGCAGGCACCTCTAGTCCCAGCTACTCAGGAGGCTGAGGCAGGAGAATCACTTGAACCTGGGTTGCAGAGGTTGCAGTGAGCCAAGACTGCACCACAGCACTCAGCCTGAGTGACAGAGCAAGACTTAATCTAAAAAAAAAAAAAAAAAAAAGACCAACTAGGAAACTATTGGAGGAGTTAGCCAAGCAATGATGATACTTGGACTGCAGTGGTAATAATGGTGGGAAAAATAAACACTGGTGAAATGTATAGGAAGTGGAACCAACAGGACTTTATTGATTGGCAGTGCTGGGTGGAGAAGGATGGCACCCATATTTCCGACATGAGCAGTGGATGCCTAGTGCTGCTACTTGTTGAGAACTAGGTAACACTCTGAAGAAGCAGGTTTGTGGTTGAGACGTCCTGGGTTTGGGATGAGAGCAAGTACTCAGTTTTGGCCGTGAATTTAATGCTCAAATGCATTGTTTTAGTGGATAGGTTGAATAAGCAGGCGTACAGAAGGGGCTTAGCTCAGGAGACAGGTCTGGACTGGAGATGGAAATCTCCTTTGGCCTATAGAGATATTTGAAACCTTGGGAGTAAATGAAGTCACCCAGAATAAGAAGAAGGGAGGTCCTACCGGATCCTAAAGAACACTAATGTTTTTAAAGGAAACATAGAGGTTGGGAAAAGGAGCTGAAATAAAGCAACCTGAGAAATAAGTGGAAATGGGAGAGCGCTTTATGATGCATGCCAGGGATGGCAGTCCTCAGGAAAGAGGAAGTGCCCCACCAGCTGCTGCTGAGCAGCTGTGTAAGACTGAAAATGGCATGGTCATCACTGGTT